ATAATGTGTAAAAAAAAAAATCCTGATCACTTGCCCAGAGTAGTTCAGTAGCTTTGGTCACAGTGTGTTGAAAAAAAAAAGGAAAAATAATGTAATAAAAAAATTATAGAACAACTAAAAAAAAAAAATGAAATTATTATGATTATTATTTTTACATACTGTCACCAGTCAGTGTCCCTGATCACTGCCACACCAATTATATAATAACGTGGTACTGGACTGGTGACAATATGTAAAAAAGATTAAAAATGAATTTCTAAATGTTTCAAAAAAATTGTAACAAAAAATGACAACCTCCAAAAAACTCACCATGCCTCTTACTAAATACCTTGGACTGTCTATTTTCCAAAAATGGGTAATTTGGGGGATATTTGTCCTATTCTGGTATGAGATGGGCCATCAGTACATCAGGAATGATTGATTGTCAGATATATATACCATGGTTTGTGGACTCTATAACTTTCCTACAGACTAAATAATATACACTAATTTGGGGTATTTTCACCAAAGAAATGCAGCAGAATACATGTTGACCTAAATTTATGAAGAAATGTTATTTACTTGCAAAATTGTATAACAGAAACGAAGAAAAATCTTTTTTTTTAAAAGTTTCAGGTTTTTTTTGTTTATTTAGAAAAAAATAAGAAAACTCAGTGGTGATTAAATACCACCAAAAGAAAGCTCTATTTGTGTGAAAAAAATTATAATTTTTTTTTTATAGGTACAGTGTTGCATGACTGCACAATTGTCATTCAAAGTGCAATAACACTGAAAGCTGAACGTTAACCTGGGCAGGAAGGGGGTAAAAGTGTCCAGTATTGAAATGGTTAAGCTTCAGACATTCCACACTTCAAAAAAAATTACCACACAAGAAAATCAAAGCTACATTAAACAGTTGACTGATATAACCCTGTTTAGACAACATTTCAAACCAATGACAAAGCAAGACTGACCCTTTATTAGGTGTCCAGAAATCTACTAATACCGAGCTCCTGCACTACAATGCTGCCGTCTATCAATTCTTGAAATTTGTAACTAGTGACTCTAAATCACTTTCTATTTCTGAAGATGCTACAGATTTTCTCACAGGGGACCATCTGCAACCTTAGGATAGCTCTGTGATTAATGATACTAAACCTGACAGCTGCAAAGCAGTAACATCCTTCTACTTTGATAATCTTGATGAGAGTTCCAAGGACTTTTATTATAAGGCTAGATTCATCTGTGCGGGTGGGCCGCTGTGGATCTGCATGAAAATCCGTGCAGCCGCACCACCCGCACGGAGGACTGCGGACCCACGGGCGGGTACCATTAGTTCTAATGGCACACCACCAGCACTGGAAAACGCAACCGTACTAGGAACCAAGGTTCAGAACAAGTGCAGGGACTTCTTCCCTGTGTGTCACGGTGCACAATAGTCCATTCAAATGGATTGACTCTCATGCCCGCGTAAAATGCGGCCCGCACAGCCGCATATATGTGAACCAGGGGTAAGAGTCTTGAGCTAATCTACAACATAGCTACAGGTTTGTCCATCAAGACCCAAGCTGATACAGCTGGCAGCTCATGCTTCACACCCAGAACACTGCTAACAGTGTTTCTCTCTAGTTCCCTGGTCTCCTCCTCCCATGCCCGCCTCCAGGACTTCTCCAGGGTGTCACCCATCCTCTGGAACTCCCTGCCCCAACCCGTCAGATTATTACCTACTCTCCTCTCCTTTAGGCACACCCTGAAAACCCACCTCTTCAGGGAAGCCTACCCCACCCCCTGCTAACTTGCCGACCTCCTCCACTCTTCCTACCACTCCATCCCCCACAGCTTTCTCCTCCTGTGCCACCATCTCCTCCCTCCTAGATTGTAAGCTCCAAGGAGCAGGGCCCTCGCTCCCCTCATGTTTTGCATTGTATTGTATTGTTATTGTTCTGTCCCCCCATTGTAATGTACAGCGCTGAGCGAACTATTGGCGCTTTATAAATACTGTATAACAATAATAATAATAATAACAGTGAAATGCCTACACCAATCATTGTGCAAGATGCATCATCACTTTCTTTGCAAGCTAGAAAGAGTCTCCTAGACCCATCAAAACATTTCTATAACCAACTGGAGAGACTACCTTCACCTAAAAGGGACCTTGTAAGCCTTGCCACTAATCTTCATCTTTTTCTCCTTTATATTTATGAATGCATGTTATCAACATATATTTAACTGGAAAACATAGGTCTATTCTGTTTTCCTCTAGATTACAATTTAGGTCAGCTGAGCTCTGACATTTTGTGACCTCTCTGACTTGAAGATGGGTTCTTCAAGAAATGTATTTGACCCTTCAGCTTTCTTTAAAGGACTTCATATTTTGCATGTTTTTCTTTTCTGTTCTCTTTCAAATGCCACTTTATGCTTTGACATACCTCCTTAGACCAAGTGTGTCCAGCCAGTATGGTCACCTGCTGTCATGGCACCATCCACAGGCAGCCTAACTCTTCAAAATGTCACAGAACCCAGTTTTACTTCAGCACAGAGAATATTTTTCCAGTCTTTGGAAATGTAACAGGACAATTATTTTCCTAAGCCCTGTTTCTGCAAAGTACTAACAATGACTGAGGGAGCATAAAAGAAACAAGGTGGGTCTAGCTTGGACTGAACTAACACTTAACAGGAGAGGAGGACATAGGGAGATACCAAGATATCAGCATATTACAGAACAATTATAACCTGATACACTTCAATACAACATGGAAAAAATACTTATATGTACTAAAGAACATTTTCTGTTTGTTATTTGGTTGCAGAGGACAAATTTAGAATATATATATTTGTGCTATGTTTTTAAGGAGAAATCTAAAGAATTCAGATGCAGTGTGTTGTGTCCCACCTAATATGTGTTTTGCTCTGTTGCCATTGTATTGTTAATATTGTATATCTACTGACAACCAGTGTGATGTGGTATGTTCTTTTGTCCCCCCCTCCTGTCTAGTACTAGTTACACAGCCTTAACTATACCCCCCTTACTTCTCTTGTGTACTCTCAATTAGTTTCAGTTTCATCGCAGTCACAGGAGTTAGAAAGTAATTTTCTTATAATTATAAGAAATACAATATTATTACAATATTATTATCAAGAGACTGAAAAAAAAATCATCTGTATTGTAAATTGTGAAGTGAAAGTGTTCTGGATTTAACTTTAAATGGAGAGTTAATTTGCTTGTGGATTTTGCTAACTCAGCAAGTGACCATACTGTCCACACAGTTTGAACTCTAGGGGTATTGAATACAGGTTCCCAAAACCAAAAAATAATTAGCACTCAATGAAAAATATAAACTGTAAATCTAATCAATTTCAAAGACACTCGTTATTATGAAGCTACTTTGCTTTGAACAATTTAAAAGCATGCCCCTTTGAGAAATGCCATGCTATAATAGAAATGTACTGTATCAGCTAGGTGCATAGTGTATCTGGTAAACATGGCCAACAGATCATTTGGACTCTCCACTTTAGTAATCTGATACCTGGGTAAAATCAGACTTTGTCATTTGCTCATTCCTATTCCAACAACCTAATACAAGTTAATACTTATCACTTATGTGCATCTATAGATGATTGGACTCCACCTTTTCCTGCCTCACATGCTGAGTGAGAGATATCCCACAGCAATGATGTCCATTTGGTTAAATGGTGAGATCCAGGATGTACATGAAAACTATGATTGCTGTCCATTCTCGTTCAGATAATGCATATACAGTATGCTATGGTTTTGTCCACCTGCAATCCATTTGAAAGGGTAACATTCAGCAATCACGTGACTCATTTTCCGGAAATATTGCATGAGATAATAAAAGGATCAATTCATGAAAGTAAAATATCGAATGAGAGATAAATACTGCCTATTTGTTAAAATAGTGTGATAAATACTGCAAAAATACATGAGATAAATAATTTACATCAATTCACTAAAAAACCACACACATTTGTTATTTACCACCTGGTGTTTGTTGGCTGTATTTGAGAAATGTACTGTACAAAATAACAATTCGAGTAACACTGCACTGGCCAGGAAGTGAAAAGTATACAATGTATCAGTTATGGCAACACTGTGACTGGTGTGGTGGTGATTAGGGTCACTGGGATTGGTGTCGTCATAATTAGGGACACTGTGACTGGTGCAGGACTGATTTGTGGTGGTGATTAGGGTCACTGGGATTGGTGTTGTCATAAAGAGGGACACTGTGACTGGTGCAGGAGTGATTAGGGACACTATGACTGGTGTTGTGGTTATCAGGAACACTGTGACAGGTGAGTGAGTGATTAGGAACTCTGGTCTGCCATTGTACTGCTGGGTGGCAATCAGAGAAAATAGCTGGCTGCACTAGCATACAGTGATATCACAGCATCCAACCATTGTACATGATCACTGCCATAACAGTACATTTCACCGTAGTGACAATGCACTTGCTCTGGTGACAGTCGAGGGGCGGGGGGTTGATTAGGTTTTTTGTAGTTGTTGTTTTTACACTGAATTATGACTGTATAAGCAATCGTTTTTCTAATGTCCAGCTGCATTCATGCAGCCATTGCTTAGTACTGTGAACACAGTGATTGGTTACAATCACAGCAATCACATTGGTAAACAATGGCTGCATCAATGACAGGCTTTGCTTACCACCAGTACATTGTTCACTGTGATTGGTCACAGCGATCACATGGTACAGGGCAAATGGCAGTTGCCCTGTACCCCTCCAGGGGATACAGTGATTACAAATCAAACCACTGAATACCTCGCAAGTACACGCATGAGGTGCATAAGCAGAAGGGCATACCTGTCCGTCCTCGCAGAATGACACTTGTCCCGCCTAGCCGTTTATGTTCAGTGGCTCGACAGGAAGAAGTTAAATCTAAGGAGCAGGGGCGGACTGACAACTCATGGGGCCCCCGGGCAAAAGGGGATCATGGGGTACCTGTTTCCTCGCCCACACTCAAACCACACCCAAAAAAGCCTATGAAAGGTACCAGGGGCATCTCATGGGGCCCCCTACTGACCCTGGGCCCTCGGGCAGTGCCCGAGTTTCCAAATGGTCAGTCCGCCCCTGCTAAGGAGGTATGTCAATGCACACAGCAGCAGTTGAGACAGACCAGTTAATATTTCTGGAGCTATTTGTAACATGAAACATGATTTGACATTGCTGACAGATTGGTTAAAACAGTGGAAACTGCAGTTCAACATTTCTAAATGCAAAATAATGGAAAAAGAATCATCTAAAAGAGTAAAATATTAATGGTCAGGGACGGACTGACCATTTGGAAACTCGGGCACTGCCTGAGGGCCCGGGGTCAGTAGGGGGCCCCATGAGATGCCCCTAGTACCTTTTTCATAGTACCTTTTTCATAGGCTTTTTTGAGTTTGGGCAAAGACACAGGGGCCCCATGATCCCCTATTGCCCGGGGGCCCCATGAGTTGTCAGTCTGCCCCTGATAATGGTACAGTTTTGACCAGAATTACAGATGAAAAAAAAATTGAGGGTGCTTATTTCAGATGATTGCAAAATCAGAAAACAAGTAGAGAAGCAAATAGAATTCTGATTTCCCTATACAGCTCTTTAGAATGGAACTTTACCCTTAGCAGCTTAAAAAAAAAAATCCTTTAACAAGAAACATATGTTCTATGTTAATAATTATGCTACCAAAATGAATGTGTGCTGTAAACTGCCTCCAGCGTTATTCCCATTTCTTCTTGCTGGAGGCTGCCATTTTGCTGAATCCCAGAGCCCTGAGCAAAAGTAAATCTTTAGGATGTCAGCAGATCGGCCTCTACAAATTTGGCCCAGTGCCTAAAAATATAGAGCAACTGAGCATGTGCAGGGCAGGGTGAGACAGTGTATCACTGGATTTTAAATAGTATAGGCACTTATTTTTATTGTTTTACATAGCTATACCTGCAAAAGGGACCAGTCTGAAGTGATCTATGAAGTGATTTGTCTGACTAAAATTGCACCTTAAGAATTTGCTGACTGCTGTGTGTAGAAACAATATATGTCCTCTCAGCAACTGGTTATACCAAGCTAATGGATGCAGCCATTATTTTGTACAACTGGCAGTCAGCTTTTTAGCAACAGTGATCCAGTTGGCCCTACAGCTGCCTGATCATTTTATGGTACAGGCTGCCCAATCCCTTTTATGGTACTGGGAAGGAATGAATAGTTTGAAAATTTGTGTTTGATAAAGGGCTGCAAAAATATTGTATGATATTAAAAATTGCAACTATTTTTATCAATGGCCTCTGCTTTAGAAAATATGTTAGGGGTTCTAAGTAATTTTCCAACAAAAAAATGCTGATTTTTATATGTGTGTGAAAAAATAGAAAATTGCACTGGACAACAAGTGGTTATTTACAACTTATTTAGAATAATGTGTTCAGTTTTATTTACAGACCTCACTTAGATATTGACAAGATAGAGGATATTGATAAAATGGAATAAGTCTAGAGACAGGCAACAAAAAATGATAAAAGGCCTGAGGGATGAATAAATCAGGGAAGACTGCAGGAGCCTAATATGTTAAAATGTCTTAAAGCGGAGCTATATTCACCTGCAGTCTAGTGAACAACCCAAAATAAATTCTCCGGCTCTTGACGAACGCAGCAATACCATATACGTGTATGTTATTTGTTGTTTGTACCCGTAGTACAGCCCAGAAACAATAGTGTGCATTTTGCTTTTGTCTTTTTTTTTTACCTAAAACACACTGACATTGACACTAACTGATACCAATTTTTTTTAAATCATGACCTTCGACCCTGACCTTTTGACCTGGACCTTTGACCCTGACCTTGACCGAAACAATAACCCTATCATTGAACTAGATCAAACCTTGATCTAAGTATTTTTTCTTTATTTTTTATTTTATTTTTTAATATTTATTTTTCTTCTTTTTTTTTTTTTTACAAAATTTTTTTTTCTCTCTATGCCAGGAGTTAGAGAGATACAATGTATCTCTCGTCTCCATTCATAGAAAGAAAAAAACAAGGGGGGCAGGCTGCACAGTGACTGATCACTGTGATAGCCAATCAGAGGCTATCACAGCGATCATGTGACCTAGAATCGGGAGTCCCGGGTCCTGATCATTAGAATGGGACCCGTGGCTCTCAGTGACACCGCAGTCTTTGTGCTGGGAGCGCGCAGTGCGACATGCTCCCAGCACAAAGACAGGTACGTAAATATGCGGCCCCGCGGAAAAAAGCCCAGTTCTGTGAGGCTGCAATTTGTGTGATGTCGGCATCAAGGGGGTTAAAAGTAACTTCTCAAAGCGCTTTACAAAGAAAACTCAAGAAATACCCAGGATAAGATAAAGGAAAAGAGGGACTATTATTTGAAAGCTTGTCTAAAAAAAAATTTTTAGATTTGATTTGAATGAGTTTAGAGAAGATGCCTCTCTGGCATTCTTTGGAAGTGAATTTCAGAATTGTGGGGCATAGCAGGAGAAGGCTCTGTCTCCCATCGAGTGTGGGTGAGTAGTGGGGACACACAGAAGACCAGAATTTGAGGAGTGTAGGTTATGGGGGGGGAGTAAGTTGATAAAAGTTCAGACAGATAATGGGGTGGCAAGACATGAAGAGTCTTATAGGTGTGCAAGAGGATCTTAACACTATGCAAAACCTGATGGATAGCAAGAGCAAGGACTCCAGGATAGGAGTAATATGGTAATTTGCACCAGACCTAGTCAGGATTCTGGCTGCAGAATTTTGAATACATTGAAGTTGATTAATAGTGGTTTAGGTACACCAGCGAGTAGAACATTGCAGTAGTCAAGTCAGGAGAGCACAAATGTATGGATCAGCTTTTCAGCTACAGTGTATGAGGAAAGTGGCTCGTCCCCAAAATGCATCAACAAACTGACCATACTGACAGTCAGACACCTTGCAACTGTTATGGCCATCTCTACTGTTCTACTAAGCTTTACATTTATGCCTTTGTTTGTGAGTATGTTTTCATCCTCTTTACCTTTAATAAACCTTGGCTAATGCACTAGGGGTTTACTCCCCCTGTTTGCTCTTTTTTCAGTTGTTGATTTCCCTATCTGAGGAGTGCAGCATCTCCGAAAGGCTATCCATAGGTGATTTTGGTCCTGGTTTCCCTGGCTTTCCTTTGGCATTTGATCTCTGGAGCGCTGGAGAGTTTATTCTGTCATGCAGTGTATGATAGCATAGAACGCAGCCGAGCCATGTTTCTCAAGGGGAAATAAGATATTCTGACAACAGTTTGTGCATGTGGATCAAACGTTAAACTAGCATAGTAGTAGGTACTCTTGAGGGAAGGCACTGCACACACAGTAGTTGTAATTGCAGAAATGTTATTAACAAATGTTCCAACAACAGCACGAAAGTCTATGCAGTGGCTTACAACTTGTGGCAACACTCACAGAATGTTCCATAGCACTAGCAGAAAGTGGAACTCCGAGATCGGCAGCACCTGGTGCAGAGGGGGTAGCTGGATGGCAGATGCAGAAAAACTGGCAGTGGAAAGGTTCCCCTATGAAGCACTGATGACAGCCCCTACACTGTCCCTCCTCCTCCGAAACCTCTCCCTAAGCTATTCATACTCTCCCTGTCAAGCGGGTTCATTAATTTTACCACACATGGAATGTATGGCAACCTCAGGGAGAGAGTGCTTTTTGTAAGCACTGCCCTCACTAGAGATGGCCACAGGAGTGGCAGTGTGCAATCGAACAGCAATCCACTCAATAATATGTATGGAGGCCTTAGAGGAATAGGTATTCCTCCTGTCCTCTGCTCTCCCTGCAGGTTGGTGCAACAGCACTACCTGTGTAGGGAGGTCAACTTGCACCTACCTACAACCTGATTTATGCATGATGGTATTAGAGAACACCAAAGGACATGCACTCTGCTCAAGCCTTGGGCAGGCCAAGCAGTAAGAACTAGTAAGAATCTGTGTATACCTGAGGTCTGTGTTTACTTGAGGTCTGTACTTTGTGAATTTGATGAGGTGGGTGGGAAGGAAAAAGGGAATACAGAATTTCTGTTAAAATTTAACTGCAATAAAGCAAATTGTATCCCCCACCTCCCACTTCCGATGCTATAGATACCCAACACTAGGTGTTACAAATGTTAAATAGTCAACATTATTATTCATGTTTATAATAAACACATTTCTCAAATCTATAAAATCGTCAGCTTTAATTTGATCAATAAACTAAGACTAAAGTCAGTAGTGTTTACGCCCCATAATTGATTAAATAATTACACTTAAATGCCAGATGATAAAGCATTACCCAGGTTAAATTTATGCAAATTCAGCAGTTATCGCCTATTGTCCTGTCATATGATTATATATGTATTTATATCTCTTCCTAATATATTTGATGATTGATGTAATAGATATGTAAGCGTTTAGTCTTGGCCTCATTGTTTCACTTTGCATAATAAGTTCCCTACCCATTCCTACTATTGTACATAACAAAGCCATAACATATTCCTACTATGGCAGCATTTTTTCTGTATGTAAAAATCAATTCCTATTGAAACATGGTTACATTAGTAACAGTTGTATACTGGCAATGCCAGTTCAGTGTTATACACCACCACTACATTGACTTCAATTTCTCCAGAGGGGTTTGAAGGTTTATATATGTACAGTATAGAGAAAGTAGAAAAAGAGAGGGAAAGACAAAGAAAAAGAGATAGATAGATAGATAGATAGATAGATAGATAGATAGATAGATAGATAGATTGATTGCAAGTTGCACCCCAGCAAACTGGTGCTTCTGTTAACGCTTGAGCTCAGCTAGGAATTCTACATATACTGACAGTGTCTTCTATTGCTCATAAACATGCATAAATCATAAAACATATATCTTGCCCAGTGTCTCGAACATTAATGAGAATGATTGGTCCAAGGTCAGAATACTGAACATACTTTGTTGAAAACAGATGCTAATACCCCTGAGGGGGTAGATTAGCAACGACAGATGTTGGCATGGCTGCCCTTATCTGACCATCATGGGTTAGAATTGATCAAACCATGCATAGGACCCTCCTAGTTAGGTGTTAGGATTCATATCGTTAGGTTAGGCATAGTGGTGTTTCTCTACTTAACAGAGACTGTTAGGAAAATCTATTTGGACTCTCTGCTTAACAGAGTGTTGTGGTTGATTAGTCAGGTCTGCTCATGATGCTCTGGTGTTGTTTGAGTTCTGTCCTTCAGGAAACTATGAGAGCCTTCCAGAACATGAGTAGGGGC